AATAAGTATGAAGGTACCCTTATCTCTTCTTCCACGTGTTACTCTAAAGTCTATCTTGTCATATATCAAAATAGTGACTCTTGCTTCTTGGTTCACTGGCTTGGAACACGTTTTTGTCTACTTTCTAAGTTACTATTACTCTTTGGTATGGAGGTGTGTTTCTTGGAGGCATTTGTGAGGAAGCAATTTTCCCTGAAATAAAACCTCCATCTTGGAGGGTAGATCCTTTAGACACATGTTCTAAAATGAGGTGAAACAATTAATCTTTCAGGGAAGTTCCTTACACTCAAAAAAAAAAATCAGAGGCTTCAGGAAGCCCCTAGAATGACTAGGTACATGAGCCTACCTCACCCTGCTCAATTCCTTTCCAAGTGTGTGTAAGCTGTAAAGACTGTTGAGAGACACTCTTGGATAAGCTTAAGTATTGAAAAGACTCCCAGACAGCTAAGCTACTTGGAAGAAGGGCTTAATCAATCTGCTTGGAAAATACATTCTTCAACGTTTTGAGCTCATTGCAAGTCATCTGATGAGCTCCAGGTTTCCCCCTTCATGAGCTGCCACCCATTGCTGGGGTGGGAATTTACCGATGCAGCTGCTCCTCCGGGCTATCTCTTACCCACTCTCATGTAAATAACCATAGTAAAATTCATTGTTTTAGTAAGTATGATTTGGGTAGTATCCTTACTTTGTTCTATCACACTATCTAGAGTGAGTAGACATCTGTTCATGTCTGTCGAGGAATACTGTCATACAAAAGCAGGATATGGAACAGAAAGATCTAGTCAGCCAGTCTATGCCCTCTAATTGTCAAATGGAGACGATTTATTCAGAATTATTATTGAAATGCTTATAGTAAAACACACCATTATGCCATTTCTAAGTGATTAAGCAAAATGCTGGGATATAATAGGAAACACACACATATTTAGTGTTAATATTGCCTGGTATTCATGTCATCTTAGCTATGTAAAAAAGGGAGTCTTATATCTATAATTCTTAGGGAAATTTAGAACTTATAAGACCCGTAGAGATAGAGCACAGTCCAGCACTGTGTAGACACTTAGTACATGCTGTGATTACTCAGGAATTCTCTTAAAAGAGTGATTTGTAGTTTCTGGAGATGAAAATTATTTGTCTTTAAACTAATTAAATGAGGATTCCCAGGGACAAGATAGTACCTTTAATATGTATTTTATGAGTTCTAAGATGACTGTAATATTCAGTAATGGTTAAGAATTACTCAGTTTGTCCTAAACCAGAATAGACATTTAATCTATATAATAATCATACATAATAATATTGAAGTCTGATAAAATAAATTACTTGTGTTAGCTTGGAGAGATAGAAAAGCCTGAAAATGAAGTAATCTCATATATACATATTAGTGGATTGCTTCTTTGAGTACTCTATCTGGAAAAAAGATACATACATTTGACTAAAATCTGTGCACTAATTGTTAAGGAAAGGATGTGGTGAGGGTTCTTGGTGGAAATAAAGTGACAGGGAAAGATCACTGTGACTCCTGCCTTTACAATCAAATTCTACATGGGAATATACCTCACAACTTCAGAGCAGACAGGCACTTCAGATGTACAGATTGCTATGGTGTCTACATTCTAATGGGTCATAGCCATTTATTTTCAGCTACACCAGAAATGGTGGTAGACATTTAAGATGGAAAGTGTATGTCCCCCTGACCATGGTACATGCTGTGCTAGCATGTGCATTGTGATGTGATTGCCTTGGCTGTTGCTAACCACATGAATGAAGCTGTTTATCATTAAGAACGCTGCTACATGTAGGTTTTGTGATGGCCTTTATCCTGGTTAACTGGTTAACAGAACCAATAGACTCTGCAAGGTGATCTGGCTAAGGTTTCTGGATACCACATACAGAATAATTCAACTCATAGGACTGAAAGAAAAAAAACCATCCTTCTCCATATAGCTCCAATATGTTCCATATCAGTACCTGATAAGGGGCATCCATGTAGGCTATACTTTACATACAGAGTAGAAACAACAGTGGCTCAATGTGTTTGAGAAACCATTATTCTGAATTGAACCTTTGTGTGTGGTTATGGCTGTGAGGCTAGATGTAAAGGAGTGTGTGTTCAGGCATATGCATGGTGTGTGTGTGTGTGTGTGTGTGTGTGTGTGTGTGTGCACTTCTGCACATAGAAGCTAGAGGCATTTTTTCTCAGGAGCCATTCACTTTGAGTTCTAAAAGAGAATTTCTTAGTGGGGTCTAGGACACCAATAAGTTAGGATGAATGACCAGGGATCATCAAGGGCACTCTTGTCTCACCCTCCCCAGCACTGGGATTATCGGCACACACCATCATGCCAAGATTTATACATGGGTGATGGGTATCAGCTGTGGCCCTTGTGCTTGCCTGCCAAATGCCTTATAGACAGAGATACATCTTCATCCTCTGAGAACTGTATCTTGATAGCCCTGTGCAGTCTTGAGGGCCTGTAGAAGCAGGACGTGCTCAGTGAAAATGGAGCATGCTGTTTCAACTTGTGATAGGGACTTCCAATTTCTTACCCAGTTTCAATACCACTCTCACACTTATTAATGCAATTCCATTTTTTATCAATGAGACATAAGCTGAGGGTTCCTGATAAAGATGCTTTCCTAGCAGGCAGGCATGTCTTGCTATATATATCCCTGTGGCATTTGTCTGTGTATAAATGTGGAAATGGAACCCAGAACTGGAAAAACCACATGGAATTATAAAGGAAAGATCTATTATTCAAAAAGTACTAATTACTGCGATTTTGCTCCTGATGTTTTTGATTGCTCCAAATAGTATCTATCAATTCTGAGCTGATTTTACATTTAAATGCCGCGTAATTAGCTTACACTGCAATTTTCATGCTTGTGCATGTTTTGTGCCAAATGCATTGATTAGAAAGTATAGAATTCTAAGGTAAATCTGCAAGATGGAAAAGAATTATTGCAAAGAATTTCATAAAGATCTAATAAACTAATTCAGAACTAAGATGGTCTACCAAATTCTGAGAAAATGGACAAGAAAATTAGGCAAGAAATGAAAATGGGGCTGCCTCTGAGAAAGCAAAGCATGGTAGGATGATGTGAAATTCATAGGTTAAAGGCCTCTTCTTAGAATGTCTTTGTGTGCCTGTCTGGGTCAGGAGCATACATTTAAAGATAACAAGATGCAATTGATAGTCACAAGGGTGAATATAAGTGTCGTTGAATAGCAATTAAAATACACTGTATTTTAGATGAGCTATCCAAAATGAGAAAATGTGATAATATAAATAATATTTTTAAAATTTAATGAAACTAATTGTGGGTGTTTGTGATTAGAGGGTGTACATTTTAGAGTAGAGTGCATTATCTCATCTGCAAAAATACAAAACTGAAAGTCAGTGGGAAATCAAGAGAATTTTTGAGAAGGTAGCTCAAAGATTTGATGTCAATTTAAAATAAACAAACAATACCATCCACAACTGGGAGGTGCAGTTTTGGGAATTATTTATATTTACTTTCATCTTCAGTGTTCAAACATAGGATATTGTAGGAATTAGGGAGGTTATGCATGCTAGCCAGATGATTTTGAAGTTGTTAATAGCCTGGGACTATCTAGAGTCTGTGCTGGAGGTCGCATCTTGAACATTGTTGCAACGACCTAATACTAGAAGTACTTTTGTAGGTATTGGATGGGTTAATATAGTCCAGCCTCTGGTAAAGAAGAGTCAGCCTGTACTTTCCAGCTCCTTTGTGTGATGGTCATCTAAAAGAATTTTCAAACATGTCACTTGTCCTCATTTTGGTCGAGAGCTCCCAAATTGCTCCTTTGGGTTTGCAGCATGTTTTTCCCCATTACTGTATTTCCATTTGTGTTCTCTTTTTTTACTATAGAAAACTCATTTTCGCACATATTAAAGTGAAAATTTTGTGTCCCAGAATTTATGGTTGGATTTCTATCCATTCTGTTGATTCTCAGTTAAACAAGTGCCATAATTATCCTGGCTGACAAAGAATTATCCCTTCTTTAAGATTATGCATATTCATTCTTTTCCTCCACTGACCCATGATGACTCCTTTACAGCAGGAATTTCATAATGTTGGGGGACTATAAACATTTGGGTAGTAATAGCATACCCTCAATACATCTTAGGTTAGAGTCCAAGGTGATTCTTTAAAGTGCACACATATGGAACAGTGAGAGGTGAGCAGATTTTGGTTTTTTGCATGGATGCTAAAGAGGGACATCATAGATGATGTGAATAAAGCTAAGAAAACCAAACACAGTGAATGTCACAGTGATGATATTAGAAACCACTTTGTGAAATGCTAGTTTGTTCAAGAATTCTGCATGAACAATCACAACACCATAACAGATAAACGAGTGAATTCAGAGATTGTGCTGACAACATTTGAATAACATTTAATTTTTATTAATCTCAGCTTAGTTCCTTTTGAACCCCAGATCATGAATGGTTTCTTTTATTTGTTCCTAAGTAGTTCCCACACTGCACAGATATGGATCACTTTTAGACACTTTCCTCTGTAAGATGGTCCCCTCTCATCTTTGTTTCTACAGAGCAAGTATCTTTTCTGCTTCCCGAAATCCATCCCTTTCTAGATTCCCTTTCTGCATCATCCATGGTGTTCAATTTCTAAGTGTCACACCACTGTAACACATGTTGGTGGGCCTCCTATGCTTATGTGCCTGACTTGCTTGGATTTCAGATATGCTAATTTAGCTTATGATCTTTAAATTCAACCAAGTATCTAGAGAGCAAATTATGAATAAAGAAACAAAGGTTAAGCACTCCAGTCTTTAACCCTATGGGAGCATGTGTCAAGTCACCACAGGTAGCTTTGTAATTAGAAAGCATTATTTACTTTTGTTTGTTTAGTAAAATTTAATTGACTTCCCACCTGTAAAGCTGTATCTTTCTGTATATGACATGCTTTTCCAGCCACACATTTTAGTATAGACACACTAAAAGAAAAAGCAATACTTCTCAGTGAAGTTTAATTTCTGTTTTTTTAGAAAAATGCCAGTATTCTACATGCATGAGTATTTCAAGATTTTAATTTCTTTTCACTCCAGGAAGGTTGTGGTGTATAAACAGTTTACAAAGCTGATCTCAAAAAACAATGACTTAAATAATCTGTGCTTTAATGTAAAACAAATTGTTAATCTGCTTGGTTTCTCATATAACGTTTATTAAACATTTTAGCGTCAATCATTTATTAAGATTGTAACACTTAACATTGAAATGGAGCTAATAATGATTCTATTTGTGGTTATGTATTTTAGATTTTTAAATGACTTTGAGTAAAATGAATGCTGCTGGCATTAAACTGTGCTTGGAGCAAAGACAAAAAAAACAAAAAACAACAAAAAAAAAACAACAGCTCATTGTTTCCAGCTAGTAAAATAAAAGATGCAATGTTCATTACATTATTTTAATGCTGTTATAATGTTAAATATTTTCTTTTTTTGCTTTTATTTGTCATTGAAGCTCAATTTACTATCCCTGAACATGAGCAATTTTCACTCAATTTGGATTTAAATATTGGTTTTAAATATGGTCTCCAAAATGTCCTGATAAAGATCAATACTTCACTTCCTTTGCCTACCCTTCAGCCAGCTTTCAAACTTCAGATTGAGATTTCTATTGGGAATTATAGCTTTCTAGGAAATATTTTAGACATTATCACTGCATCAGAGGGGATTAAGAATTACCAACGTTCTGAAGGCATATGTGCTTTAGGACTGTTCCCACCCATCACTTTTCTTAATTATAAAGTGGCAATTTGTACTATTATTATAAATATACATTTATATATAAAGTTTTGCATTCAAATCTCTTTATTTTGACTACCTAATGAAAGATCACAGATCAAATAAAAACTTTATATAATATATCCTCATTTCAGAATCATATGTATATATACACATATATATTTGTAGAACAATCCACAATGTGATTCCGGCTTAAAAAATGCTATTAACACTCTGTGACAGAATAATAATAGCCTCAGCCTTCAATGACATTAAAATGAGCAAGGAATTTTAATTTTGAATGTGTCTCATCTTGTGCAGAAGAAATCAAATAACTTCATGGGAAACCTTCTCAAAAGCAAGGTCTTTTACACTAAGCCACAGGGTATAAGGGTAGATTTCCTATTTCTGGGTCTATGTTTTAAAACGTGGACCACTGTTGAAGTGGTCTAAGAAACTAGGGGTCCCAGATTTGACCTGAAGACAATTTAATACACAACAACCATGTTACACTCCATCTATTCCTCTGTTTCCAATACACACAACACTTGTCTGTGGCATAACAGAATCATCACGTGAGAAACCATACCTACCAGCAATATTGCCATTTTCTTAGGTAGAAGAGTTATTCTGTATAAATATCTGAATTAGAATGAGACCCCTAAAGAATGGCATTATATTACATAGATAGATGTCTATTCACTGTACCAATCCATAATAGCTAAAAATGTCTTATGAGATTCATATATGTAATTCAAAGCCAAAACTATCACTATGATCAAGAAAAGGGTGGCTTACTGTATTCAGTCTCCTAAAGCACAAGGACTCTAAGTTAGCAGATGGAACTTCAGCACCGTTTGTTTCTAGACCTCAAACATCTAGCTAAAATATCAAGTAAAGAATATTGACCACATTTTGTGAGACTCACAGAAGTTTTGCTTTCATTGTCAAGACCATTCACTTAAAACAGAAGGACTCCTATCGTTCTCTACTACAGTCCTTTCCTGGGAATATCCCCTTGCATTGTTTTGGAAACAACAAAAAGCAAATCCTTATTACAATGAAAGAAGAACATATGATAGATAAGTTGAAGCCAGGAAATAAAGACTATCACAGTGAAGACTTATACTTAGCTATATAAAGCTGATAAACAACCATCAAAAATGGCTCATGTTTTTAAGTGAAACTGGATAGTTATTTGCTTATATTTATTCATCGATTTTAAGACTTAAGACAGTGAATATTGGTTTTATTTATGCTTTACTGTAGTTAAAAAGCAACCAGAGAGTAAACAAATATTCAACCTGTGATCTAATCCACATTTTTCTAGGTTTATGAATAAACAATTGTGAGGCTTTCAATTTGTTCTTGAAATCAGTTTTAAATGAAGCAAAGTTAATCTCCAAAGCACATTTACATTTGCTAAAAACAATGTGGAGGGAAAACTAAAGATAAATTGAGTGGTGAGAAAGATCTGTTTTAAGTGCTGATAGGATGGGGGAGGGGTGTCTGTATGATGAATGATTGACAACAACTGAAAATAGAGAAGGGATTTTATTAGATATTAACATCAGTTTATATCTTCATAAATAATGAGATTAAATTTCTATCATGAAATCATTAATGAGATGGGCGAATTTGATTTCCACCAATTGCATTTCCTGTGGATACTCAGCTGCGCTATAGTTGAATAAACATATCAACTCCAACCCTCCAGGCACTTCCCTCTAAAAAAGCCCATGACCCATGTTTTTTGAAGCCTCTTTATTCATTTTTTCCAAAGAAAATAAGGCTTTGTGCTTGGGATTTATTTGGTCCTGGAAGTGACAGGTATTTTCATAATCAAGTTGGATCAACAGTGACAATGAACACAACTTCTGGATTTGTGTCTTTTCATGGTTATTCTTTTCCTAAGAGAGCAATATTCCCTACATAAAAATTAAATTTATCTGTTACTTTCTGTAAATTCTGATTTAAGATGTGTCCAGAAGCCTTGCCTCTGTGCATAACTGCTATTCTTTGCTTTATAGGAAAATTCCTCCAGTACATTTTCTGCCATTGCCCAGAGAACATAAATAGGATACTTGATAGGACAAAAATTTCACTGAAGAATAATGGCTGTATAGAGGGGAGACACCACATTGACCTTGAAATACAGCAATCAGTGGAAAACTTCAAGGTGAAGGCCTAGATCTTCTGCAAAGTATGTATTTTAGGGAGTCATAGTTGGAGTAATACATGCTGGACAGTAGAGATATAGGAGAAGTTACATGCTAAGTCTTCTCATTATGATATCCATAAATCTGCAAACATTTTAAACATTTTGTTTGTTTTTTTTTTTTAATTTGGATGTCTCTACACCATTCATGATTTCCAGGCCTAAGTAGATATAGTAATTCCAATGCCATGTTATAACTCACATCTTTGCTGTTTTCCAGTACTTCAGTATTCCTAACAGTGTGTTTGCTTGCTCTTACATGGAGTTCCTTTTCACTACACAAATCCACCAACAAAACCCTGTCTGTTGGAATCAAAGCTGTCAATTCCACATTTTTTCTCACTGTCCCTTGAAAATTCCATGTTTAATTGGTTACCTTCTGTTATCTAGAATACAGAATTACTGCAAACTAGATTTATAACTGTTGATAATACTAACAGACTACTGCCTTTATAGATGGTAAGTTAGGAATTTCACTGCCATCCTTCTATTTTCTCATAGTTTGGAAAAACAGTCTGCATACAAAAACTCTGGCGATGTAAAAAGGTGACTGAAATTTGCTTTGACTCTGAATCTCAGACTTATTTTCTTCAGTAAAACCCACCTTACATCTTCCATGCTGCAAGATATAGTTTAAAAAAAAAGAACTTCTTATCACAGACATGCACATACACACTCAGAAGTACCCAACAAATCAACACTGAGAATGAATGGAAAAAGCAAGAAGCCCATGCTTCTTCACCAGACACAGCAATGGCAGGGGGTTCCCTACGTCTCCTCAGAAATACAATAAAACCTGTTTCACTAAATGTCTAAAAAATAATGAAATCCCAGATCAATACCTAGATAAAATATGATATTTTCTTAGGAGAAACTCTTTACAAGGGATTAAATCTGCTAATATGATTAAACTCAACATAAGATTTTCATTGTCTAAAATAAAAAATATTATTAACATCAAGAATAATGTTCAAAACTTTTCTTCATGCTAAATGGACCCTGGCTATATGACTGATAGACATTAGAAGAATATAATTTTGACATGTTCAATTTTAGAACTGAAAGAATATCCTAGAAACAGGATATAGTTGTGTATCATTCACAGAAGTCTAAAGAAAATACAAAACTGAAACAAAACTGCACATCACAGAATTCTCTAAAACTTAAAGGGATTTACAAGTCAACATTTTTAAGTGGCTTTCTCAAAACCTATTCCATCCATTCAAAGACTGTATTCTGTCTGCATTGTAGTTGTATCTTCATTGCAATTAGCCCTCTGTTAAAAACAACACAGTTAATGTTTGTGGAGTCCTGATTTATTTTTTCTTTGCTTTTATGTGCGATAATTGTTATGCATGTGAATTTTCTACCATGTTGCAACAGGCAAGCTTTGGTTCAATTTTCTTGTCCTACACAAAGGAAGATTTTGAGTGCAGAATCTCAGCTACTAAGTCCTGTGATGCCGTTTTATATTTTTCTCTTGTTGGGATGGATTTATTGGAGAAAACGGGGAAAGGGGAGGGAGGAGAAAGGAAAGGGGGGAGACTGAAGAATAGGAGGGGTTCTCAGCTATGTAGAGTCTTGATTCACGACTTTGCCTCCATTCATGGTGGGTGTTCCTGAACTTTTCCTGGAACGTCCTTGCTTTTCTCCAATTTCGTGTAGTGACGGTTCTCTGTACATACACACTGGAAAGCAAAATTACAAAACAATTAGTGGTGTTAATCAACATAGACCTGGTTTGAATGAACTGCTTGAATTTGATTTTAGTATATTCAGAATATTTAGAAGTTTCAGAACATCGTTCATCGGAAGGGATATCTGGATAAGTGTAGAGAAGTAGAAATGTATCAATATAGCCCCTTAATTGGCCTTGACTTCCTTCACCTAAACCAAGTCTCAGAGCCCATGTACTATTAGCTACTCTCCAACTGGGAGTGTGGTAATTTAACATAAGATTAAGTTCACATCCTCTCTTCTATCTGGTTCTAAGGTTGGCATCTGACAGCTATTATGACTTTTGCTAAATTATCACTTAGAATGAGTAGGGTTTTCCATTTTATAGCTATTTTTACAAAAAATCACCACAATGAGTCTTTTGGCCTCAATGGGCTGTTCTGATAGAGAAAAATGTGTCTACATATGCATAGTTTACTTAAGTATCAGGAGTTGCTTTCCTTCTTGAAATAAGAACAAATAAATATCTGCATCTATTCTACCTATCATACCACAATGGTTCCTGAATTTTAATGTTGTTTCCAAAATCAAATAGTTTCCTAGGCTGGGTATGATTTGGGAATACTACATCTTCAGGAGTTTGGCTATTTGGTTCACAGGTTGTCTTAGTTGCTTACTGACTGAAAAAAAATGGCATCTTTATCAGCATGAATAGATAGCAAACATCTAAAATGATCAAGAAAAATAAAAAGTAACACCATTCATTAAGATTTTAGACAGTATGTTTTTGAGAATGCCATTTAAATTCCGATCTAAGCCATTCCACTACTACCAAAACACAGAATAAAAATAAAAGCATGGTTCTGAACACTAGTTCAAAGAAGAGACAGGTTTTTCCCCAGCGTGTTTAGTAGTGTACAGTACTGTGCAGTTATACTAAGTAGGGGTATTGTTACTATGTGACTTAGGAGTCATTAGGTCTGTGATGAGTTTGGGGTTCTTTACTTTTATATTACTAAGCTACCAGTGATGTTGATGAAATACAATACACATTCTCTGAGTAACACAGTATATAGCTATGAAAGATGATTTTTCAATGCCTTTTTCAAGAGTATCAAACATCTAATTTTGAATGATATGTTTAAAGATTTCAGTTACTTCCATCAATACTTATAATATCTCCAAATGCCATTGGTTGAAGTGGGAAAGTGCAACTTATAGGTAAGCTATGAACTAGTAGCTCCTGAGGTAATCGTAGTTGATTCTGCTGTTCTCAAATGGTATAAATAGGTAATTCAAATTCCTGTCTTTAATAACAACAACGAAAAGAATCCTAGAAAATTTTTATAATATAGCCTAGAAGATTGTTGAAGCCCCTCAAGTGCACTAGCTTTTTATTTTATTTCTGTTATGAGGAAAGTAGAGCAGGTTCCAAATATCGAAGGTGAAGGCAAACTTTTACCTATGCATACTATATTCACTTATCTATAACTGGATAACACACAGGCAACTCAAAGGTAATGAAGTGATTCCATTGGAAAGGAATCCACGGGCTTTTCTAATCTCCACCACCTAATTGGCTGTGAAAGACCACCGTTTCCAGGCTCCAGCACAGATCACTTAAACCATAATCTCAATGGATAAATAGAACTTTTCTGTTTAAATACCCAAAAAAAGATATTGGGACACAGATGACTTCAACGTCATGATAGTTGAAGGGTATGATACTGGTTGTTAGCCACTAAATAATGTGTTTATGTAGTTGAGTTTCCTAGAATTGCAATATCTCATCTGTTCTCATTATATAGATTCTGCCTATTATACATATGGACTTTATTTTTATGTATTTATTTTTCTCACAAAAACATAAAGTACTTCAAGTATAAACACACAAATATTAGCACTAAAATTAGTGCAGGCCAATTTTCCAATAATTGAACTCCACTGGCCATACCTGAATTGGAATCCATAAAGAAATATCCAAACTGACCTCGGGAATTTTACAATTGATCAAAGTAAAACTCAATAATGCAACAATAGAAGATATAGATTTTCTTTTAGGGTAATTCAGTCATTGCCTTCATTATAACCCCATTAAACTTAATAATAAAATCCAGGGTTTTAATGAACTAAATGGTTAACAGGTATGTTTTCCAGTTCACTGAAAGAAACTGTCTCTCTTTCACCCAATGAATCAAATAGGTGTTTCATTCTTTACACTGCTGTTTACAAAGTGGATTTGGATTGTAAGATGAAGCAAACTCAGGTAATTCTAGGAGTTGTACAAAAATGGGAATGAGCAAGGCAGGGATAGAAAGAGGAAGGATGGAGGGAAAGAGAATGGAATGAGAGAGAGAGAGAGAGAGAGAGAGAGAGAGAGAGAGAGAGAGAGAGAGAGAGAGAGAGAGAGAAAGAGGGAGGGCACTATTGAGCCAAGTACCTTATCATTATTATTTACAATTCTTGGGATTCAGCAAAACATCTAACTTTAGACTGTAACAAGTAAAGGGCTATAGCTCTCAGTCAAATTTTAGAATGAAAATGTATTTTACAGAGCACAATTGAGCTCAATTACAATGTAAGGAAAGGACAGGAAAAGGACAAGGACTCTTTAGTGTGGTAACAGCCAACTCCAATAGTAGTAATAACTTTCTTTGATCCCAGTTCTGAATACTCAAAATAAATGATGGAGCAAAATCAAAGAAGTGACGAAGCACAAGGTGTCTGACAAATATAGTGTAAATCAAAATGTAAACTGTTAATCCCCCAACTAAATATGTCATTATGAGGTATTCAAAGCCACTGTAAATTGATTGTTTCATTTACTCATTAGAATAACTTTGTGATCATCATAGGTAAATTATTACCTTTACTTTTTAAGCATAAAGGGGAGTGAATGACTTCCTCAACATCAAGGGGTGAGCAGTGACAGAGCCAGGATGAGAATAGTTAGTCAGGGGTTCTGATCTAAAATAGCTTCTACACACTAAATGATATTAGACAAGGTTTACACTAATATGGTTGTATATTATTTAGTATAGAAGTTGGCCTTACTTTTAGGAAATATTGCTATTGTCATCAAGAAATGGTTTTGAAAATGAATATGCCATGGATATGTTAAAAAGAGTAAGTTGAAACCAACAAAGCAGGCAGGTATGTGGAGCTATTGGAACCCTTAAGTATTGTTGTTCAAATATAAGGTGGTACAGCCATGGTGAGAAATGACGATTGTTAAGACAATTACATATGGAATATTCAAAGGATCCAATCGCTATACTCTGGAGGTGTAGACAAAAAGTAAGAAAGAAAGAAAGAAAGAAAGAAAGAAAGAAAGAAAGAAAGAAAGAAAGAAAGAAAGAAAGAAAGAAAGAAAGAAAGAAAGAAAGAAAGGAGAGAGGGAGGGAGGGAGGGAGGAAAGAAAGAAAGGTAAATATGATGGTTATATATTCAAATATACTAAATTGTATTTAGTCTTGAAAGAAAGAAATATTGATACTTGCCACAGTACGGAATAACCTTGAAGAAATGGCAGTAAGGCAGCCAAATCACTTCCTAAGGGCCAAAAACTGAATAGATCACTATGGGAAAGTTAGGATGACGGTAAGTAGAAGACATGAATGGATCACTATGGAAAAGTTAGGATGATGGTAAGCACGAAGACCAAGTAGAATTGTTGTGAGGGCCCTGGAGGAGAGGAGATGGGGAGTTCAGTCTTTAAAGGTGTAGCAATTCAGGTTTGTAGCAGGAAAACAGTTATGGGAGGGTTGCTGGGAATGGCTTATAAGCTCAGAATAAACATAAGTGCATTGAAATGTACACTTAAATTCTATTTTCATATGTTCTCACAATTAAAAACATCCTACTTGTACTGAGTATCAATAATAAATAAAGAACTATCTGGGTTGGGGAGATGGCTCAGCAGCTTGGAACACTTAGCTGTTCTTTGCTGAGGATCCACATTCAGTTCTCAGCACCCACATAGTGGGTTCAGGGCCATCTGTAACTACCTTCCCCCAGCTCCAGTGAACTGACACTGTCATCTGGCCTTCCCAGTGATAAGGGATGAATGTTGTACACTTACATATATGCAGGCAAAACACTCAAACACGTTAAATAAAGTAAATATTTTTTTATTTTAAAAGAACTATTTAATCCAGAGTTCTCCTCTTAGCACATGGATGGTAGCCTCTCTGCAGTAATCAGAAATGTCTCAGTGCTGAAACAAAGGGTAGAGGATGGAGATATAACTGAGAGATACAGGCTTGGGGCGAGAATTCAAGGATTCAGTGAAAAATTCTAGAACTGTGTTGCTTATGTAGTATCAGTTTAGCTTCATGATGCTATGAACATTTAAAATACAAGCATCCCTACTTTGGATGTACTTTGAAGGTAAACATAAATACAGGATGTAATAATATAAAGGGGTGCTGAGGGAGAAGTAATACAGAGCTAATTAGTCTCAGACCGTATTGAATTCCATCCCTACAACTGGAAACCATGATTGCGACATGTTAATGCACACCCATCTGAAATTGATAGTAAATGAAGTGTAAATAATATGTCCGCTCAGAAAATAACAAGTATCTGGGGGAAAATCTAATAATTCAACAATTATTATTAAAAATATTTACATGACATGAATTCAGCCAGCCCATGTAGAAGGGAAAACTCAGTCAAACTGAATCTCACAGTGTGGCTCTCACAAGGAACACATTTGAAAAGGTTTGTAAATTGTTTAGTTCCTTGCAAATACAGACTCAGCTTCACAGAAGTGGATCTAGTTCAAGACTCATTATGCATCTGAGATTTACCGTGTACATTTCAAGTACCAATTGCGGCTGCAATCATAATGCAGTTTTCGCTTGATCAGCCTAGTTTACTACGTGTTTTTGTCTGGAAGGAGCTTAATTTAGACCTTAAGGCTTTCAAACAAACAACAACTGATAAACCCATAATAATATCTCATAGGAAATAACAATCACAGAGTCTATGGATTAAAAAAATCGTGGTT